AACTACAGATTGGGTGATGAAGTATGTCTCCTATGCGTGCTCTACCTCTGATTTCAAATCGATTAGAGAAGAGGAGAACTAGAGAAGAGACAGAGACAAAGCATGAGGCTGATTAGGTTAGGACGACTAGACGAGATAGGAGAGAAGAATGTTGTCTAAACTGCACACAGCTACTTGATTAAGTGATCTAATTTCAGTTTCACACTTTCACTTTCCTTTTTCTTTAAGACTCAACGTTAGCGTGCATTGCCCCTGGCTGGACTGGACTAAAGGCTTCATTTTAGGACTTGAAAATGAAAAAAAAAATCCCCTAAAATGATGTCATTTTGGGGGTTCTACCTGATAAAATATCAACCCGGTTAACTTGGTCAACCCATCGAGTTATCCGGGTTATCTTGAGTTGAACTTGGGTTGATCGGGTTACATCAGGTCAATCTCACACTGGTTTAATTAGAAACCTAGACTGAAAAAGGGATCAAGTTGTCAGTTTTTAGGTTGACCTCGCCAGTTCGATCTGGATCCAAACCATGGGACCCAAAATCACTTAAAAAATAACTATTATGGGTAGAGTAAAAAGAACCTATTGCCAATTGAGAGTTAATATAGCAAAAGATATAGCTTTTCAAAGCTAATGTTGGAAGTTGCCTCAAACAAGATTGCTATAAGTGTGTTTGAATTTCAATTGGGTATAACTAATTATGAAAAAAATTAATTAATATGATTGATTTGGAATAAGGAGAATTTCATTTAAGGATAAGAGAAGCAACATATCTTCAAGTAGGTCCCAAAAATATTGTTGGCCCAAAAATCACTTAAGGTTGGCCCAAACATCCATTAATGTCAATGCTCGTTAATCAAGGGATGATATTGCAACAATTTTAATATTAATATTTAAGAAGTGACATTGCTTTAATAAATAGTTTAAAATATCTCATAATTCTCATGAGATAGTTCAAAGGTAAAAATAACACATTAGTGTTATATTTACCTTCCCTTTTTCCACCTCTATTCCCCTCCCCAAGCTTCTCTTGTTATTTACTTTTTTTTTTTATGTAGATACAACTTGTCCACAGACACCAAATCCTACTACTATATCCTTCATGATCTATCATATCAAAAGAAGAAAAACCTTAATAAGCACCTGGCTTTTTTTATTCATAGCCTTTGAACTGAAAATATTTCAATTTACCTCATATTCATATTAGTATTGAGCTAATAGTTTTTCAATGCATATCAATAAATTATTGGGATATTATTTTTTAACTTTTTTAAAAAAATTAATGTTCTATACGTATTTAACACTTTTAAATTACAAGTAGATACTTTAAAGCTAATAGGCTATATTTAAAAAATTAAATTTTGTTAAATAGTGTGATATTTATATATCTTATTCGTAATATATTTTTGTGATTTTCTTTAAAAGTTAAAGATTATACCTTCCTTAAAAATAAGTTTTAGATATAATAAAAAGATAAAGATGGTATTTTTTTTTTAACTATAAAACATAGGAATGAAATCTTTTGGCATTTAAACCCTAAGGAGAGAATTATTAGAAGGGACTAGAAGATAGGCAATAAATTATAGATAAAATAAAAATACAATAAGCGATTATGTCTTACTTCCTATTACTATAAATTAAAGAGCTGTATAACTAGTTTGGATATTTTTTAAATTAAAATAATATTTTTTATGGATGTGCATGTGCACATATCAAATATATATCATATCCTATATTTTTTTAAAATAAAAATATTAACATACTGGATATGTATCATATGTATCATATTGGATTGTACATATCATATCGGTGCATCATAGTTCATGGCCATAGTTTTAACAATAGCTAAAAAAACTAAATTATAGTGGTTTTTTTTTTTGTTGAATGTTGTACAAAGCTACTAAAGGAAAAACATAACTTTTAGTCTCGCATTTTACTCGTATTTTACTTTTAGTTTCTGTACTTTTTTTTTTAATATTTTAAGTTTTTACACTTTTATTTTTTATTATTTTTGATTCCTTTATGAATAAAATGTAGAAATATTGGAGAAATCGAAAACAATGAAAAGTAAAAATATAAGGATTTAAAATATTAAAAAAAGAGAGTATAATGACCAAAAATAAAATGCAAACAAAATACAACAATCAAAAGCTATATTTTTCTATTAGGAAAATAATTCATTCACGTGCCACGCGAATTCCTAATCATGCAATTCATTAAGAAACCGTTGGAGAAAGGACTACTTGCCCCTTGGAAGGAGAACTAACCTGAATCTCCATGTTTTGAACGTTCTGAGGAGTTTGATTTGAAATATCTATATTCGACGAACATGTGTCACTACCATTTAAACCCAAATGAGCTGCGGAGTCCACAACAGGCTACTGGTCCTCAACCAACTTGCGTTTCCACGTCCAGACTTTGATCCACTTTTGAAGGCCAGCCCATCTCAAAATTGAAGTTGACTTTGAACCAACAAGACGCCCACCTCCACCTCGATCCATTATAGGCCCATCAAAGGGATTCTTATCTGTTCTGTGCTTTGAACTACTTGAGCCCAACCCAATCTCCCAGAGCCCATTTGTATAAAATTAAAAAAAAATAGATATTATTTTATATTTGATTATAATAATAAAAATTAATTATTAATTAGTTATTTTTAAATTTTATTATATCTTTCTTAATTTTTTTTATAAAAATAATTTACTGTTATATTATTTTAAAATTTTATAATATCTTTGTGTATCCCTCATTTTTAAAATATTCTTTCTCATCTATCACATTAATAATTAAAATTATATTTTGGTTGAATTTGAGTTATTTTTGAAAGTTTAATCAAATATCATAAAAAATCACAAAATAATTTTTTTAAAACAATAAATAATTTGTTTAAAAAATAAGCTAAAATAAACGGTGCCTAATCCCTCTTGAATTCGATTCTTTACTTCGGCTTTCAATCCGCACTTCACCGGTTCACCCTTTCTTTTTGTCGGCAACTGGGACCCACGCCCTTGGATTCTCATCATATCCGATCGTTACGTTCTTATTCATTCCCTCGTCTTTGCCTTGGATATTTGACCCCTCCTCATTTGCATTTTTCTTTTTTTGGGCAACCTCATTTCCTTTTTTCGACTTCACCTCGCTAGAAGCTTGCTTATTACCCCACATTTTTGCTACATGCTGATTTTTTTGGTTGATTCATCCTATCTCGTCCACTGTGAGAATTCTCTCCTCTTCTTTTTCATCTTCTTCTCAAAATTTAGTTAGATTAAATCTCTTATAAAATTATTCTTGAAATGTTAAAATATAAAAAATACAGCATATTATTCGAACCAATATGAACAATTAAAAGTAAAATAAAAGGAATATTACATAGGAAATCAAATTTAGACCATTATAATCTAGACTGAAATTAAAAAGGGAGATTAAAGTGTGAAAAGGATGGAAAGGAAAAGAGGAGAGAATATCCTCACCCCCTTATATATGCTTTCTTCAAACTCTAGTAAAAATTAAAATCAATAATTTAAATTAAGTTCAACGAACCAATTTAAATTTGCTTAAAAAAATTTGCTTAAAAAAAGTTAAGGTCGTGCTTAATTATGTGAGCTTTTTTTTTTAAAAGATATGATATTTTAAGTTTATTTTAAATAAGCTCGATTAAAATAAATTTGGTTGTCAGAATTACCGATTCTATATGCGGTAATTCATGCCAAACGGCTCAGTTCAAAACTGTTAAAGAAGTTAGGACTAGATTTCACTATATAAATTTTTTTAAAAAATTAGGACTATTTACTTTACTAAAAATCACGTTGAGCCAGATTGCCCTACCCATACTCCGTCACCTTACTTTAACTTTCTGCCGTTAATGGAACCGTCGTTGAGACCAGGGCCACTGTCTGCGGGGCACTCTGATCATCATTGTTGATTACAGGTCCCTTCCCATCTAGTGTGGAAAGAGTATTCTACTGTTGAACCTCACTGGACACAATCACTCGAGGGTACTCTGTAATTTTTTTTTTTTTGAACTTTCATCAAATCTCTCATGATTGCAGAATAATGATCACATTTAACAGTTTTCTTTTGTCATTTGGGATTCTCCCAATATATTAATTACTCACTTTTTATTAAAAGAAAAAAAAAATAATTACAGCTTTCCCCATGCATTCACGGGTGAGAACTGAGAACAAACACGAGAAGATGAAAGTGCAAAACGACAAAGAGACAGAGAGAAAGCGGTATGATTACGCATTGTGGAAAGCAGAGTGCCCTACAGTACAATTTTGCCACGGCCTCACAAGAACTTATATTTATTTTTACATAAAATTTGCACGAACGTGAAACTATATATAATATTGCTAGTCTATCCAAAACACGAACTTCTCAGATTGTATATATATAACATGATCTTGGCAAATGAAAGCGTCCTCTGCAAACCAATATATGCAGAGAAAATAAGTCAATTATGGCACACCTTGGTTTCTTTATGGTTAGAGAATGTACTCTTGTATTTTTTGTTTGATTTAGGATAGGACGAGGATTTTACGCTTTTAACTGTTCGTTGTGCAACATTATACATTGCTCTTACAAACTATTGATCAAATTGTGCACTTTGTCTTCCCTTTAATATTATATGTGTTTTTCATCTATTTATAATTACAAGATGACATTTCGTAAATTATTAGAGTTTGTGAAAAAACAACATATAAAAATTATTTTCATTAAAGAGAAGATAATTTTCGAAAACAATCTCATTCAAAAAGAAAAATGACAGTGATAGATTAAAATGTCATTTTCGCTCATTAATTTTTTTTTGAAATAAAAAGAACTATTATAAAATTTCTTCAATTGTTGGTCAAAAAAATATATTTCCCCAATTAATATATATATATATATTTCCCTTCATAATGTATAATAATTTTGTGCATGTAAAAATATTCTTAAAATATCAAGTAACACCACATCGAACTTTTTATTAGAAACTTTTTTAACTTCCGACAAGGCATAATTAAAAAACATGTCCAATATTTTATTGTGAAATTGACATAAAAACCACTTAATATGCCCATTTCAGTGATTAACACTGGAAGCAAAGATGAAGGTGATCACCAATAATTAAACAAAATACAAAAAAAGAACATGCAACTAATTTCGTTACCGGATATATAAAGTTCAATTAATTAGCGGAACACTGAAACCCTTTTGGGGGAGTCTTGCCACAGTCAATGAGAAGCTGAAGAGCGATAGGGATGACGATATTGACGTTCAGAAGCTTAGCCTTAATCGTCGTACAGAGACACACGGCGGCGTCCAAATCAACTAATCCTTGCAGCACCGGACAGCAAGTCTGTTTAGCATTGCTTCCGACTCCGACGTGGACAAGCCCACCTAGAACATCCACACATGCACCCAGCTTCAACGTATCTATGGGGCACGTCTCTTGTGCTGGTGGCGGCGGCGGGCATGGCGTCCCCGGATAAGGAGGGTTTGGCACATAAGGTGTCGGAGACGGTGGTGTCACCACCGGTGGTACTGGTGTCACTGGTGGTGTTGGTGGGGTTACAACCGGAGGAGGTTGAGGAACATAAGGTGGCGATACAACCGGTGGTGGCTTCACGGTCGGAGGTGTCGGCACTACCGGTGGTAAAGGCACATATGGGGGTGGCCTCACAATCGGTGGTGGCTTTACAACTGGTGGTGACACAACGGGTGGTGTAGGCACATACGGTGGTGGCTTCACGACAGGTGGTGGCTTCACAACTGGTGGTGTAGGCACATACGGTGGTGGCTTCACGACCGGTGGTGACACAACGGGTGGTGTAGGCACATACGGTGGTGGCTTCACGACCGGTGGTGGCTTCACAACTGGTGGTGTAGGCACATACGGTGGTGGCTTCACGACCGGTGGTGACACAACGGGTGGTGTAGGCACATACGGTGGTGGCTTCACGACAGGTGGTGGCTTCACAACTGGTGGTGTAGGCACATACGGTGGTGGCTTCACGACCGGTGGTGACACAACGGGTGGTGTAGGCACATACGGTGGTGGCTTCACGACAGGTGGTGGCTTCACAACTGGTGGTGTAGGCACATACGGTGGTGGCTTCACGACCGGTGGTGACACAACGGGTGGTGTAGGCACATACGGTGGTGGCTTCACGACAGGTGGTGGCTTCACAACTGGTGGTGTAGGCACATACGGTGGTGGCTTCACGACCGGTGGTGACACAACGGGTGGTGTCACATACGGTGGTGGCTTCACGACAGGTGGTGGCTTCACAACTGGTGGTGTAGGCACATACGGTGGTGGCTTCACGACCGGTGGTGACACAACGGGTGGTGTAGGCACATACGGTGGTGGCTTCACGACAGGTGGTGGCTTCACAACTGGTGGTGTAGGCACATATGGTGGTGGCTTAACGACCGGCGGTGACACAACTGGTGGTGTAGGCACATACGGTGGTGGCTTCACAACTGGCGGTTTCACAACCGGTGGTCTTGGATGATATGGTGGTGACACGACTGGTGGTTTAGGAACATAAGGTGGTGGCTTCACAACCGGAGGCTTTGGCACATGCGGTGGTTTCACAACCGGTGGTTTTGGATGATATGGTGGCTTAGGAACATAAGGTGGTGGCTTCACAATCGGAGGCTTTGGCACATACGGTGGTTTCACGACCGGCGGTTTTGGATGATACGGTGGAGGCTTTACAACTGGTGGTTTAGGAACATAAGGGGGTGGCTTCACAACCGGAGGCTTTGGCACATACGGTGGTTTCACGATCGGCGGTTTTGGGACATAAGGTGGAGGCTTTACAACTGGTGGTTTAGGAACATAAGGTGGTGGCTTCACAATCGGAGGCTTTGGCACATACGGTGGTTTCACGACCGGCGGTTTTGGGACATAACGTGGAGGCTTTACAACTGGTGGTTTAACAATGGGTGGTTTTGGGTAGTAAGGTGGTGGTTTAACAATTGGTGGTCTTACGATTGGTGGTTTTGGACGGACATACGGCGGTGGTTTTGCCTTGGGAGGTTTTGGCTGTGAAGAAGACGGTGGTGGACACGGTGGTTTGGAACGGCGGTGTACTGGAGGTTTAGGCTTAGGAGGTCGTTTGGGTGGGTAGGCACAGTAAGGACAAGCAAGCGTACTGTTGAGGAAGAAGGTGGTGAAGGTGAAGAGAATGAAGAGAAGGGCACCCTTGGCCATTTTGCTTCAAGACGAGGAGCACAATAATTAACGCAATACTGAGGCCCTTATATAATGCAATGCAAAAGGACATGCAATATCATGGTTTTAGGAACTCATCATGTGTTTTAAAGAGGTATATGAGTAAGGATTATATTTCTAAACGAGCATTTAATTAAAGAAGTATATTTACAAATTGTTTATCAATAGGATCTCCATATCAATATTGAATATATGACTTTGAAAATTATAAATTAATTTTTTATTAATTAAATCAATGTTTATTAGCAATATCTCTATACATAGTCAATCTCATTTAATCATTCCTTTGCTTTTGCAATAATGCACTATTATTAATTATGGCATTAAAATTAATATATTATCATTTAATAAATATAATGAGAAACACTGTATTCTTATTTTTAAAAAGTTTTAAGTAAAGATGATAAATAATATATTTATTTTAATGATATAATCTATGATAATATATTATTAAATTAAATAAATAATTAAATGAATGGATTTAAATATAAAAAGATATATTAATGAAGGGCAGGACCAGGGTCCAAATCTACAAGAGGATCCAAATCTTAACATCTATGCATAAACCCGACCATGCTACCCCAACACCCAGAGTATATGGGGCCCACACCCCGTACAAGGGGTTTCGAGGCCTCCGCAGCCTCATACGGGGGCTAGTCCTGTACCGTGCTACTTATGGAAATGCAGAGGAGATTTTATATTTTCGAGAATCACATACAGGACCCATCAAAGGAGCATATTTATACTGCAAGTTCAATGGATTATGAAATTTCTCAACGTAAGTACAAGGGTAAATTTGCAAGGATTCTTATAAATAAATAAATGTCTTGTCATAAATAATATTAATTTTCTTATTATTTATAGACTTTTTGTTATTAATGTGTAGCACAAATATTCTCACCCATTAAAGGTAGTTTAGTCTATTTGCACTTGAAGTGTTTGGGCCTATAAAGTAAGTTTAGAATCTATTGAACTTGCAGCGTGAATATATTTCTTTAATGGGCTTTACATGTGAATCTTCCTTTTTTATTCCTCTTTTTTTTTTTAATGTATCAAATATTTTCTTTACAAATAAAATATAACTTTAGGTTTCTGCACTTTATTTAAATTTTACTATAGTTTTCTGTACTTTTTTGAGTGTTTTAAGTCTTTATACTTTTATTTTTGACTATTCTAAATCCCTCCATGAGTAGTGTTATAGGGATCTAAAATATTAAAAAATAAAAATATAAAAACCTAGAATACAAAAAAAGTGAAGGGATATATAACAAAACTTGAGCATAATGTACTGATCCAAGGATATGTTTTTCCTATTAATAATAAAAAGTTCAAAATATAACTTAAACCTTATATGAGGGTCCGAAACTAGAAAGCAAAGTGGTTGGATAAATAAAATAAATAAATAAATAAATATAAATATAATATAATATTATTTTTTTCACATATCCGTGTTTAATATTTAAAAGATATAATTAAAATTATATGAACTTTTAATTTTATGTTACATTATGAATTTCTCATGGTACAAAAATAATCAATCATTGCATGAATGGTAAATTTTAACCAATCTCTTTTTCAATATAAACCAATAAATTAAACCATTATTTAATCAATGAGAGAGTCATCTTCCACCTGCATGTTGTACCTAAATTTCAAAGAAAATCTTACAAGCAAATGTCTTTAGCTAAGAAAGGTAACTTTTTCTAAAAGAACACATCATTATGAAGTAGATCATAAGGAAATGTGAAAATTCTCAACAATTTATTCTTTTTAGATTTTTCTCACTAAGAAAATATTTAATTAAATTATGAAATGTAAAATTTTAAGCTTGATATTCTTAAAAAATTAAATTTTTAGAACTTGCATGTCTCCTATTGTGAATTATATCAAAAGTTTAGCTTTTATTCTTTGATTGATATATAACTATCGTTAGTGTTGACATTTTTATTAATGCTATATTGTATATGCTTTTGGAACAAAATCCCTTTAAATATATAAAAGTCAATGGATTTAAATATGATTCAAATCCAAATTTATTTTTAAAATAATTAATTTGCAATTTTAATTTTCCTCCATACCATACTTATTTGAAATCTCACTCAATTAAACCCTCTTGTTTGTTTATGTTTTTCCCTTTAGTGCCTCTCTCATTTTCATCTTCTCTTGTTCCTCATTCTTTGGTTTCTATACTTTAAATTTTAACTCATCTCTCTTTGTACTCTTTTAAAATTTTGTACACTAACCAAATAAAATATTTTAAAAATACATGAATTTTAAATGTAAAATTTTAAAATATAGGATTTTAAATTTAAAATTCAAATCTAAATTCATTAATCCAGACGCTACCTAAATGTTTTATAAATTTTTAAGAAGAGTTGGGTTGAAATATATTATACCATATTACTAATATTAAAAAAAAAAATTAAAATATTTCTTGTCTATGACCGTTGGTCTCCCGTCCCTTTACCATTATTTGTGATAGTGTAATAGTTAGAGTAGGTTTGATGATTCTAAAAACACTTAAATATTGATATATAAATATATTCTTTGCTAATTTATAATGGATGCTTTGCTTGAACGTTGGGGATTTTTAGGTAAAAAAACAATTCTTTTGTGAATTTAGACTTGAATTTAGGTTGATTGTAAAGTGCGCTATTTCTATTCTCTCCCATATTGAGAGTGCTCTCTCCTCAATGAGAGTAGGGTTTTCGTGAGCCCTTCTCATCCTTTGTTTGGTGAGCATGTGAGTATTGCTTTTTCTCCTCTACTACCATCTTTGGTGGTGGTAGAGGTGAGCGATTTTCCTTTCTCTACCCCCACTGGGTGGAGTTTTTGAGTGTGTGTGTGGGGTTTGGAGGTGTGTGTGCTTTCTTCTTTGGTTCCAAGTGTTTTGGTAATTTGAAGAATGGAAGTTAATGAGTTTAAATGGGGGTAAATGAAAAATAGTGGTGGTGGTGAGGTTGCTCTTCTTTTTCATGTTGTAATAATGAAGTCAATGCGTAAACTTGCTTAGAGGGTATAGAATGTTGTGGGTAAGGTTAAAATTGAAGATGCTGATGTGAATCATTTCCTTTTTAAGTTTGATTTCCTAGAGGATGTGGAGAGGGTTGTACATGATGGTCCTTAAACCATTATGAGCTCGTATGTGATTGTTTGTACTTGGCCCTCATTGCTGAGTTATGATGACGTTGAAACAGATGTCTGTGATTTTTGGGTCCAGTTTCATGGAGTACTACTTGATGCTATGTGTTTACAAAATGTTTTTCATTTTTACAAGGTAAAGTCTTAACAATGGAAAACCCTTTAATTGATGGCTATATTACTAGAACCTTTATACATACTCGTGTTGAAGTTGATTTGACAAAACCTTTATTGAGGGGATTTTGGATGGCTAGACCTAAATGCTTTGCCCTATGGGTTTATGCAAAATATGAGAAATTACAATATTATTGCCATACTTATGGAAGGATTGGTCATAAGGCTAGAGGCTGTATGATAGCTGCAGTAAGTGACACTTATAGTGGTGGACTAGGTGTTTCTTTAACTAAAGTAGTAGTGGAAATTGTGAGGACAAAGGAGGTTGATGCTTTTCCAACCTCTGGTGACAAGAGAGATAAGGGAAGTGTGAGTCACGTGAGACCTAAGGATGTGATGATGGAGGATTTTGATAGTTTTGGTGCTATGGGTCATGTGAGTAGGCGTAACAAACCTATAAAAAGTAATGATATGTGGCTTAATAGACATGGTAGGGGTCCTTCTAATGAGCAGTTCATGGATTCAAATGGAAGTTGTAAACCTTTAAGAGGATAGGCTGTAAACATGGTACCAACTATAGATTAGGAAGAATTGGGCTAGTCTATAAATCTTGTTGAAGTAGATTTGGGTTAGCAGTATGCTTATTCTTTTACTAAGGAAACTTCAAATGTTTTATATATTGTGGAGTTTCCTCTTGAAGAGGAAAGGGAAGTGGTTGAGAAATTGACTCAAAATTTACTAACTGGGGAGAATGAAGTAATTGATGCAGAACTTGTTGGTGGGTTGAGATGAGTAAATCTAAAGCATAGTGCTGATGAAACATGGCCGTCTTCTAATATAAAGAGGTGATACTTAGTGCAAGAGGATGAGGATAAACTCAAGGAAGCATTAGAGCTAAATGGGGATCTAAACTTTCAAACTGGTAAAAATTCTCCAATATGAATAAAATGTAAATGTTAAAAACCTTTGGCTACTAAGAACCTAAATTTTGATAATTTGATAGATGTCCCTATAAGGGTGAATTGGAATGGTAGTAGTTTCCTTAATACCATTGTGTATCTGATGTGGCATTTTTGTCTAGTGAATTAAGGCAGGGTGGCTAGTTGTCAACAGCTACCTAAGAGCCATGATTGTCATTGTTTAGAACTGTCAGGGATTCGAGGCTACTTGACAGTTCATCACCTGAAGCACCAGGTTAAAAAATTTAAGCCCCAAGTTGTATTTCTTTCAGAAGTAAGAATGAAGACTAAAAAAAAATTAATAAAGTAACGCATAAATTTTGTTTTGATCATGGTTTTTGTATAGAACCTAAAGGTTTATCTAGTGAACTCTCTCTTTGGTGGTGTGAAAAGAATATTTTGGAGATAAAATATTCTTCTAGAAATATGATTCATATATTTTGCTCTAATAAGGATGCCAGTTTCTTGACTTTTGTGCATAGGCCCCCTATGAAAGGGCTAAAAAAAGAATGGTGGTGTAAGTTATGTTCACTTTGGCCTAATGATGAGCAGGCTTGGTTTATTCTAGGTGATTTTAATGATCTTTTATATAATAGTGACAAATCTGGGGGTGTTTTTCTAGAATTGAATGATCTGAGTAATTTTGGCAGCTTTATGAATAGTCTAAATATGGTGGAAATTGAAATGAAAGGTGGTCAATTTACTTGGATGAATAAGCAAGAAGGCAAATATTTTATTATGGAGAAACTGGATCAAGTCATAATCAAGCATGGATGTTTTCTTATCCAAATGCTTAATGTTTAATGCTTGAAGTTGTGGGCTTTGACCATTCTCCTGTGGTTCTCTTTCCCAATTTTAATGATAATAAAGCTCCTTGAAGATTTATGTAACAACCCAAAATTTTAAGTAAAATTTAAAATAGAAAATAATATATTTTAAGAGTCTTTTTTTATTGGTTTTGGGAACAAATCTAACAAGAAGAGGAGTTGGTCTAGTGGAGGTTATGCAATCAATTATTCAATTGGTCTTGGGTTCGAATCTGCCAAGGACTAAGCATAAAAGTTTTTATTCTTTTCATTCAGCTCTTTGCAATTACCATTTTGCCCTAAAAAAAAAGAAAGAGAACAGAGAGAGAGAGAAAAGAGGTAGATATATTAACGCATAAGTCGGTTCATTCTTCAGCCTCTTCTTTTTCATTCTTTCGAACCTTCCAGATCAGAGGAGAGAGTGCTTGTTTTTCCTTATTACCTTCGTCTTCTTCCTAATTCCGTTCAGCTCGCCGGCTAGTTTGAGTGTGCTCATTGTAGTTCCTCATTTCTTCCTCTGTGATGGCTAGTAATAGATCAAGTTTCTTCCTCCTGTCATCGCTGGCGACCGTGAACGAACTTTCTTCCTCCTCTGCTGTGTTGCTGTGAGGGAAAGTCGAGAGTTCATCATTTTTCTTTCTCTGCCTCGCGTCATTGGTGCTCGCCGCCATGGAAGCTCTGTCTATTCCGCTGTCATTCTTCGTTCTCCCCTGTTAGTTTCGTGCCAAGTGCTTCAATATCTTGCAGTGGGAGTATTTCTGTCATGGTTGGAGGTTCGATTTTCTAGTTCTCCCACTTCCCTGTGCGCAACGGCGAGAACCTCTTTTTTTTCCTATCCTTGACATTTTTTAGTCAGAGGGAACTCTAAGTTTCTCGTCCTAGCTCTGTCCCGATGGACCTAAGGTGAAGATCTTTGAATATTCTTTTTCCTTTGCTGGTCTGGTGCATGGCTGTGTGAATGGAAAAAAATATTGAGGTTTATTAAAGTTGAAATTCGCGTTTTTGGTTCTGATTTTAGAATGATATATCCGTATAATCGTTTTACTTCAAGTTTGGGGAGCATGGTAGTGATTTGAAATTCTTTCAAGCTTAACCGATTTTTGATGGGGATTTAATTTGTGAGCTAAATTGATTTGCTTTCGGTTAAAGTAATGAATTTGGAAGGCGAATTGATTTAAACATCTATGCTGAAAATTTTTAGGAAATGGACTTGGATAGGAAGAAGCTTGATTATAGTTAAGGATCAAATGCTCACAAAGTGGCTAATAGAATATTTGAGAGTGAGTCTTGTTAGATAATGACTTGACTCTTGATGTATATGATGATTATACTGCTGATTAAATGAATTGTCATTGAAAGACAATTATCATTTATGGAATTTGGGAGTTTGATTGATTTTAATATCTATCTTATAAAAATTTTAGGAGTGGGAATCAAGGAGAAAATTGTTTGATTTGAGTTTAAGAATTATATCTATTAAAAAGAATTTTATCTAATTATGTAGTTTATTAATTTTATCAATTCTTATGATGACGCGGTTGGTATGTGTTTTATTTAAGTCAACTTAGTCTTGTGGAGAGTTTTGATTGTGTAGTTATTGGCGAGGGTTAATTAAATTTCAGAAATTTCACGTTTGATGATTTATAAGTTATGGTGTTGATTTATAACTCATTTCGGGGTGCTCTTAAGGAGTTTGATAAAGTGGGTTATGGAGGTATTTTTTTTTTGAATTGGGCGTGCACTCATGTAGTATACATACCATGATTAAAATTTAATTACTTGTGCTTGAGGGGAGCTGGAAAGACAAGTGTAGTATAGATAAAGCTCTGGATATATATATATAGAGTATTGTAAGGACCGAAGGACTTTAGTTTTATATCGGATTGACTTAAGAACTGAGTGACTATATTGTTGTGATAGGAAAGGAGTTTATTAAACGCGGATAAAGGTCACTAAAGTTTTGTATTATTGAATAGGGGATGAAAGAAAATGTCGATCGAGATAGTAAGGGAGGATTGAAGCTTTAAAGGGTGAATTTTACACTTGGAAATAGTGCAGGTAAGTGGATAGCGTCCCAACTGATTTGTTTAATCAAAATTTCTTTTACTAGAATATTACGTTTTTCTGGAAATCATTTTAATAGCATTAATGCGATTATTGGATATTTGTTTATTAACATTACTTTATTTTGAGAAATTAGCTTTATCAAATTTGAAATGTTATTTGATCAACTAAATTAAGTTTGGACTTTGAGTATGAGATTTTTATTTTATCAAATATTAGATTGATATAGAGAATGATTCATGCGAGTTTGACTTTGAAATTTTTGATTATTCAATAAATGCAAGCATGAGCATTGGATATAAAATTTGCTTCTGGCAAGTTTTAATGTTTAAAAGTATTCATGCGAGTTTGATTTTGAGAATGAGAACTGTATCTTGAAAGTGATGATTTTCTCGCATGTTTGAAAATGGTTTTAAAAGGGGACTTTATACAGAACACTGATTGTTAACGGTAGTTCCGTTAGCCCTTGGCGCACCATGGTACACCTAGCTAGCAGGGTGTTTATAGGAGGTGCTAGCCCCGTGCGATGGCCAACGCACGTGGAACGGAGGGATGGTTACTCGTGAGCATCATACTCACGTTTGATTTCATGGCTTTGAGCCGCGTTTGGTTATCATTACCCTCGTGGATTGTGTGTCCACGTTTGTTTCGTGGCTTCGGTCGCGTTTGGTTACTTACCTTCGTGGATTGTGTGTCCACGTTTGTTTTCGTGGCATAAGCCGCGTTTGGTTATTTACTCTCGTGGACTGTGTGTCCACGTTTGTTTATTGTTCTGATAAGTCCCTATTATATGAATTTGATTGTTTGGAAATTTTACATCCCATTGGTTTTAGATAATAAATTATTTATAATTATTTATTTATTTTATGGTTTTCTTGCAATCAAGTGATAATATTATTTGATACGATATTTTAATGGTTCGAGATTTTTATTTAAAGGTTTATAGAATTCTTTTATTTCAAAAGTCTACTAAATTGTTATGAAGATCGTTGCCTCTTTAAATTGCATAATTATTTTAAATTTATTTTTTATTCATGTTCAATTATTTATTGTTAGGACGTTATTCACTGGAAAATATTTTGGTCTCAGATAGCCTGTGCCTCCGCCAGATCATCCAAGAGATTTTGTTATGGGATTGAAGTTGAGACATCGTTTTGGTTAATTTCTATTTCGATGTACAATTTTAATATATATATTGTACTTTTATAAATAATTTTATAGGTGCTCCACATAGATTACGGTTACAATCTTTATTTTGTAATATTTCATTTGTTGGTTGGAAGGAGCTAAGCTCCTAGATGTTATAATACTTCTTTAAAATTTTGGTATTGTAAATTTTGGGAAAATCCTACTTTCAAGGGAAATTTTGTCAGAAATTCCACAAAATATATATATATGTATATATATATATATATATATATATAAAGGCTTTATTTAACTGAAAAGCACCTTTGAAATGAATCATTCTTGAATTAGGCTTAAGGGATGTGTATTTAAGTGCATATCCCATGCCGGTCACTCCCATAGTCCAGGGTGTGACAATTTAGATTTGAGATGTTTTGGCTTCATGATCCTAAATATGTGTCTTTAGTTAAAAATAATTGGGTCGATTACTCTATTTCTAACTGTGATTGGGTGGAGGATTTTGTTATAATCTTAATGACTTGAAGGTGGTACTTTTGAAATGGCATAAGGCAAGACTTGTTTAGGATAAGATCCTAATTGATGAACTTCTAAAGCAATTTAAGTACTGCTATGAAGTTGGCTGAGGCCTTAGTGAGGCTCAAAAAGCAAGGTTAATTATGAAGTAGTTGGAGGCGTTATGGGAAAATGAAGAAAAGTATTAGGCACAAAGATCTAGGATTTAATAGTTGAAGTGGGGGGATTAGAACACAAAATTCTTCCACCAAACTACTTCACAAAGACACAAAGAAATAAAGTTATTCATTTAAAGGGTAAAGATGATAGTTAGATTGAAGAGCAAAATGCTATAGATAAATCATTTGCTGAGTATTTTCATGATTTATTTAAGTCTGAAGTCGATAGAGATTTTAGCTTTGTTCTACATTTTGTTAAGCATTCAGTTTCTTATTATATGAATAAAAGATTGGGCAGTCCTATTTTAGATGAGGGAACTAACAAGGTAGCATTTGAATTGTGTGGCTTTAAGGTACTAAGACCTGATGGCTTTTTAAGCATGTTCTACTATAAATCATGGGATGTGGTAGGCAATTAGGTTTGCTTCTTGGTACTTAATTTTTTCTCTTAAAGATTTTCTCTTGAGAAGCTTAATTTGACTGATTTAGTATTTATTCCAAAGGTTAAAGCCTGAAGTTGTAAGTCACTTTCATCCTAGAGGCCTGTATAACTTTTCTTGCAAGATTTTCTCTAAAGTTATTATTAATAGGATGAAGCCTTTAATGAATGACTTAATCTTTATTAACCAGCAAGCCTTTATTCTTAGTAGGTCAATATTTGATAATATTCTGATTACTCATGACCACTACTTGAATATGAAATTTGGATGTAAGTATGAGTTGGCCTTAAAGTTAGCTATGAACAATACTTATGATAGAGTGGAATGGGACTTTTTGAACGTAGTTATGCTCAAAATGGGGTGTTGTTCTATATGGGTTGAGAAAATTTATAAGTGCGTTGGTTATGTAAAGTTTAATCTATTTCTCTTTAGAGGAGTTGCTGCTTCTTTTTTCCCTGAACAAGGTCTTCAGAAAGGTCTTCAGAAAGGGGATCCTTTATCCCCTTATCTCTTCATTATCATAGCTAATGTACTTTCCCAAATGGTTAATGATTTTGCTAGTTATAATGCTATCAAGGGAATTAAATTAGCAAGAAAAGCCCTTGTAATCACACATTGCTTTTTTGCTGATGATTCAGTCTTCTTTTTACAAGCTATTAAGCAGAATTGTGCTACTATAAGGCACATACTAGATTGCTACTGTGACACTTCAGGGTAAAGAGTCAATTTTCAAAAGTCTTACATTTTTTTCTTTTCAAATGTGACACCAAGAGAGCTAAAAGCAAGATTAAAGGAAATTTTACAGGTGCAAAAGGCTATGATCTTAGGAAATATTTAAGATTGCCAATTCTTTAGGGACGGTCTAAAGTGAAAGCTCTTAGTTTTGTTGTTAATAAGGTTTAAATGAAGCTATAGGGGTGGAAAAAGAATTTACTTTCAACTGCTAGTGCATTCCTATGTCTTATTTTTCCTTCCCTAAGCAAGTGTATAAAGAGCTAAATAGTATATGGCCTCTTTCTGGTAAGGTCAAAAGGGGAGGAAGGCATAATACGTTAGATTAAATGGAAAGATCTAACTCTTTAAAAGAAAGATAGGGGCATTAGTTTTTAGGATTTTTGTTAGTTTAATATGGCTCAAATTGCTAAATAGGGTTTGAGAATTCTTAATGAGCTATGGGTACAGATCATTAAAGGAATTTATTTTCCTAAATGCAACTTTTTAGCAGTTAAAAAGGGATCCTGGGCTTCTTGGGCTTGGGTTAGTTTGCCGGAGAGTAGAGAGTTGTTGAAAGGTTTGACTTATTTTAATATTTGGAATGGATGCTCAGTTTGCATCTGGGGAGATCCTTAGATCCCTTTGCTGCCATCTTTTAGGATCCAGACTAGTGTACCAAATGAAGATGTTGAGGAATGTGTTATTGTTAATTTACGTGAGTAGAGATCATGGAGTTTAAATCTGATAGCTGTTTTGCTATCTCCTATAGAACTAGAAACTATTAGAAATGTTATTTTACCACGATTTAAGCTTCAAGATGAAGCTATATGGACAGGTAACATGAATGGTGTATATTCTGTTAAGAAAGGCTATAGGTGGGCACTGATCAAAACCCACCCATTCTAAAGGCTCTTAGTTCTTCTCGATCTATTGATAGTGCTATTTGGATGGAATTATGGAAACTTAAAGTACCCTCAAAAATAAAATTCTTTCTTTGGAAAGTTATTAAAGGGGCTTTACCAACTTGGGAAAGTCTTTGGAGACATAAATATACTCCTAATCTGCTTTGTTTAGTCTGTTGTGATCAAGTGGAAACTTTAAAACATATGTTACTGTTGTGTGGATGAGCTATTCTTGTGTGGTTTGGAATTTCTTTAAGCCTTTGAATTAATGTTGAGGATATTACATTGATTGATAAGTGGCTTATTAACTTCTTTAGTCACAAGGATGTCCAGGAAGAATCTAAAATGTTAGTTGCTTTTATCTTATGGCAGTTGTAGGAGGTGAGACGTACTTTTGTGTTTGAGAAGAAATTTGTGCAACATAAGAGCATTATTAATCTTGTAAATACATATGTGGATATTTATTGGGTAGCTAAGAATTGGCATAACATGGATTTTAAATCTCAAAGTATTGATAGCAGAGCCTAGGACGTTGCAAATGAGATATCCAGTGTTTTTGTTAAAAGTGCATCTAATATCTCATTTGAGTACTTTGCCTTCTGTGATGGTGCTTTTAATAAAGAGGCTAACAAAGTTGGTTATGGTTTTGTGGTGCAATGTTTGACTGATAGTTGCATGCATGTTTTGAGATCAGGATCTAAGGTGATTTCTCCTTTCTCTAATGAAGCAGAAGCTTTGAACTAGTGCTTGCAATGGTATATGGCTATTGGTATAATGAATGTCCTTTTACTTTCTGATTGTTTCCCTTTGGTTGAAGCTGTGTGGGGTTGTGTTCCTTGTCTTGAGTAGGAAAGCTTTACCATTGTAGAGGATGTTTTGAATCTTAAGCAGTCATTAAGTTCTTATGACTTGAAGTAGATCCCAAGAACTTTGAATCAACCTGCTGATTAGGTCTCACATTCAGCTAGCAATAGGGTGTGCTCTTCAGATTGGGCTTCATAGGGCCCAACCCTGTTACTAGATTTTTTGGATTCTAGAAATTTCTTTTGTAGGCATTTAAGTTTTCCATTGCCATTTATTTCTCTTTTTGATTTGCTATTCCTATTTCTAGATTCTAGTTTGGTTTTTAATGATATTTGTAGTTCTCTTTGGCAAAAAAAAAAGAGTTGAATTTAGGTTGAATCCGCCACTTAGATTTGATATATGCAAATTTATAAAATTTAAAATTTAAAATTATTGCCTCTGATCTTATTTGTAAGTTATTTCTACCAATCTCACTAATATCAGTACAATAAAAGTACAAGGAATAATTGTAAATGAAATTTCAAAATTAACCCTTAAAATAAAAAGGCAAAAAGTACAATCAGTCAAATGTTATTATTTTTTAGTATTTCTCTCTCACACTTTAACAGATATGGTACTTTTACAGTGAAAAAGTTGAGCATTTTTTTTTACGAGGATGGAAAACTATAGGCAGGTGAATATATAAAAAAAAAAACAAAACAAAGGCTGTGCAATTTTCCACCATGAAAAAAATGCTCCTTCTTTATTGATTTAAATGCTCTAGTCAATGAGGAAGATAATGGGGACAACAACACCATTTCCTTAGACTAAAGTACTCCTCCTATGTGTGAGAATGTCCTCCTGGACAACAATAAAAATGAAGAGCAACATATTACGATCAATAAAGAAAGAAATGGTGAGGATATCTCTCTCTATGAAGCCCATGAATATCCTCATGTAAAATGTATATTGTGAAAACCTATAAAAAAGATGAACAATAAAAATATGAAACTTAATACTTTAAAGCTTGATACCTTTAAAATCACCAACAAAGAAACATTTTTAACTCAAGTAACATCAAGTAAGAAACCATTCTATTTTTGAAATTAGCATCTTGAACTCCAACTTTAAACTAACTTGTATGAGATATTCACATAGAGCTGGATTAATGTCTGTGAGGAGTCTCTTAGTCACATATGGATAGGCAACCTATTGGATATAAATAATTGGTTATTACATTAGAATAAGGTGTAACTAAAAACATTTGAAAGATATACGCAAACATATTAGATTACAGTAATGAAGTTTTGGCTTAAATATACTAAACTTTTTGGACTTATTCTTATCCCTGCTTCTTCTACTGATGCAAATGTGGAAAATGAATTTTTTAATATATGATTATTTTTTATCAAATAAATTTTAGCCTCCTTAGTCATTTTGGATATATTTGTTTGTCTAAAATAAATTATATGAAACCATATTTTTGTTTGGGTATACATTGCTATTGTTGCTAGAAGGCTTGTAGTTCACCTCCTAAAGAGAATCTAATCTATTAACAATGCTTTGCACTTGACATACCTAAAGAAAGGTGGTAAAATTGACTTTTAGGCTTTTGAAGGCAACGAGAGCAAACTTGATGCTATATGAAAGCCTTAAAAAGGAATCTACTACACTTTTGAGAAGTAGTTTTTGAAAGGTAATGCCATATACCACAAAAAAGAATATCAAATTCACATCTGTTCACAAAATTCTAAGAAAAAAAATGCATCTCTTTATTCCACACATATGGATACGGGATACAATAAATAAAATGATAATAAATTAATTGAAAAAGAAATCTATTGGTTGTCTATGCATTTCAACACTCACCATATGTCCTAACAACTAATAAAAGAACTTATGACAAATTTAATATCTATTTAGTGGCATCTATTAGGAAAAGAGGGCTAAGAAGATGGAGGCTAGAGGTAATACTTAATTGGATAGAAAGCAGTGGAATATGATTATATTAAAAGAAACCTGAGATCTCTAACCTTATTATAGTATAGTACCCTACAATGGTTAGTCTGAAAGAAAAGGTGGACATATTATATTGAAAGAAACCTTAAATCTTTAACCTTATTAACACTTTAGTAAAAAAAAATTGAATATAGATTGAAAGAGTTAAAGGAAGGCAATATAGGATTGTGACATTGAGTTGACATCAATATCATTGCCCAATTTGAATCCTTAACACATATTTATGCTTCAAAAAACCTTTATGTTAATGAGAAGCTATTAGGTTAAATAAAACTAGGATAGGAGCATCAACTTACCCATGCTCTGCAAGTGAAATTATTGCTTGTAAGATAGCTAGAGTTTATTGCTTGCATCTTGTTCATCTCTTATAAGCATTTTTTCTGCCAAAAAAAATTTCATTAGATTATATGGTCTACCAAGAAATCTAGCATTTTTAAACTTTTGAAATAGAGACAGATATGGGAAGCAATCTAGTTGAATCACCAAGGTAGCCACTGTGTAAAAGAAGAAGGTTCTTTTCAAATGAAGAACGTGTATCTATTTATAAAATTTTATTAAACTTAAGCTATCAAGGTAAATTGAATAGTATTATAACAAGAGAGACAGTTTCAACATATTCAGTTTTAATGAGAGTCATTCAATGCATTTGGCCTTAAGTTAAGGAAATAGGGGGATGCAAATCATAAAAAGATAAATAAGTGTGGAAGAAAGGGACCTAATGTGAACATGCAACAAGTCATGGCCATTCTTGTACATTGACGAACTACTTATAAGTCTTTTGCAAAGTGCGCTAGGGGTTAATAAGACATCACTGATAAGACTTAAAAAAAAGGAGTTTTGTGGCGCCATACTAGTGCAATCAAATAAAATTTAAAGGAACAAAACATGCTAGCTAGATTGAGGTGGTGTTTGTCCATGCTAGAATAATAAAGTATACCATATGATCTAACTTTTTAATCTTTGCACAACATAATCCATATTGATGAAAAATGGTTTTACATGACAAAGAAATCCTAGACCTACTACTTGGAAATAGGGGAGGAGCCACCACATTGAACATGTAAAAACAAGAATGATATTGGTAAAGTTATGTTCTTAGTTGTTGTGGCTAGACCTAGATTTTATGCACAAGGAAATGAAATTTTTTCAATGAAAATTGGGTTGTTTCCATTTGTTACAAAAGAGGTAGCAAGAAAAAGAGTGTGAATAGGAGTAGAGTCACAATAGAAATAAAACCAATCACTTCTATTACAAAAGAAGTGATGAAATCTTTCTTAATTGACAAAGTATTACCAAAAATAAAAGTCAAATGGCTAGCAAGTCATACAAGTGAAACTATTTTTGTTTAACAAAATAATGCTCGTTGTCCTGTTAATGACAATGATGTGGATTTTCATATGGTAGTAAGTGATGGTGGGTTTGATATTCACTTGATTTCTCAACCCCAAATTTCCTTAATTTAAACATTTTGGATCTTGATTATTTTAGAGCAATTTTAGCATTATAACGCCAAGAAGCACCTAAAACTATAGATGACCTTGTCAGGGCTGTGGAGAAGTCATTTAAAGTTTAAACCTCTAAGCAATTGAATAGGATGTTCCTAGCATTACAAGCTACTATGATTGACATTATGAAGGATAAAGGTTCAAACAAGTATAAGCAAAGCCATTTGAAGAAGGATGTGATGGAAAGAAAAGGAAAATTGCCTAATCAACTTAAGTGAAGTGTTGGAGCACTTAGCACAAATAGATAAATGATCGAGATTAAGGGGTGGATATTTTTATGGATCCTTTATATTTTGGTCATTAATATTTTGTGTTACAATTTGTCATGTAAATTGCAACACATAATATTAACAGTCAATATTTTGTAATAGATGCTAAACAAAGAAGATAAAAGAAGAAACTAATCAAAATGACACAAATCTGAACAAAGTAATGCAAGAGAAATTAATTCATGCATGGAATGAAGTTGATTTAAAAAATAGGAAAACATCTGAACAAAGTGTATTAATTAATGATGAGTTAAAACAAAAAAGAACTGAGATTCAAGAGCTTAGAGAAGAATACAATGTACAAACAAATTGTTAAGGTTAAAGTAAACTTACTATGGACAAAATTGTGATGAAGTTGTAAATTAAGAAAAATGAGCTCAACTTAAATTAAAACTTGTATCAAGGATTCAAAATCTATCAATCATCAAGTTTTAAACTGATAAATTTTGAACAAACTGATTAGTACATTGAGATTTATTCAAAATTATAGGTATTCATTTACAATTAATCCTTTTTACATAGGTCTATAATGGCTATATTGAAGTCAAAACCAATGACCTCAAGGATTTGTAATAATACAAGAGGGATTTTATCTTTGTAGGTAAAAGAGTGAAATCTAGCTAGGCCTCTTCCTCTTAAAGACCATTTCATTACACCAAAACCTTGGTTATGAATCTTCCTTTTTTCTAATAATAGAAAAAACACATAATTAAGGTAGTAGTAATTAGAACCTCAGTTGTCTAAGACATCATTACTTGAACCTTGCACATTTAACATGATCCAATCTAGAAAATCATACTAATTGATCGAACAAAATAGAACACACACATTGTAACCGCATTGTAACAGAACAAAACAGAGATGCATATAGAATAGAAGTGGATTAACAGAATAGAATATCATCATCTTAAATATCATCATCCATCAGACTAACAGACCATAAGCTTAACATTTATCATTGATCATAATGAGCTTAAATTCTAGGCTAGCCAAAATTACACAAAAGGCATCTAAATTTGAGACTAATCAAAACATATAATGCAGAAATCACTTACTATCTTTCTCTTCCTTAGTCAGATGTGCATAGTCTTCCTTTGGAAGTGGAAACTTGTTTTGGTCTAATAGGTGGACAATCTTCTTCTTTTTATTGCTTTCCAAAACCCTAGAATTGAGTTGCTATTGCTATTGCCATTACCGTCGCTCACTTCTTTACCATCTTCGATTGCCTCTTTATTCAAGTCAAACGAGTAGACCTTCTTCTCACTTACGACCTCAACCAAGTTAGAAGATGCAAGGGAAGAATTGTTCAAATAAGGTGCCCTCAAAATCTTTTAATTCAGAGAGGTTACCTCTCTAGAGAAGTCGAACGGCTGTAAATCTTCTTCGCTATCAAGAGAATCGTCGACTACCTTCCCCATTAGTTGATCCTATGATAGACCCTCAAAATGCTCTTCCATCAGACTTGAACAGTGAGAATCCAATGATATCTCAAACCACAAATTGATCAATGAGACTTGTGCGAGCTACAACAAAAGAGGAACTACAACAGAGGAACAATGAGCTTTATGGTAGAGAGGTGATTGATAGAGAGACTGAAGATGATGAGAGAACAAGTGAAAGAGACAGTGAGAGAGAGTAGGTTAGATGCATCAAGAAAGAGAAAATGAGAAAGAAAAAGAGATGGGTATTTGGGAATTCTATTTTGAAATACAAAATCCTGATCTATGAGTGACTAATATTGTGGATCAAGTTTGCCTTCTAGAAGGCGACTAATAATCCAGACCGGAGGGAGTATTTAACTACAAATCCTCTGATATAAACGTTACCTAAAGAAATATTCTTATCCACTTATGCCCATCAAATATATGGGGCCAACTCTAAGATTAGATCATTGTAATAAATAAAATACTATGCAAAGTGCTGTTTTTTTAAATAGAATTTTTGCTTGATGGATCCATTGCATCATTTCATTCACGTCCAATAAAATTGCACTAGTTTAATCAAATAAAATCTTAAGTATTATTATTTTTAATATCATTATTTTTAATAACTTTCTTCTTGTAATAAAGTGCTGCCTCCTTTTTTTTTTTGGTCTTTTCTCTCTTTGTCATAATTAATAATAAAATTAATTTATATTTACACATGATATATTCTATTGGATAGCATGAATGACATGATGCACAGATTTCTATGATATTTTTTTTTAAAGAACAAGAACATGACAATGAATGTATAAATGAGTTGAGTTCCATTTATACCCTCCTCTCTTATTCGTGTCATTTTCTCGCCAAGGTTTTACAATTATTGAGTAGAGGAACCAATTAAAATGTTTGAATCACACTCACCGACAGATTGACAGCAATCATGATCCTACTCTCCCTTGGCAATTTCCTTTGCATTAAATTTCTTATCATTTGTAAGTTTGCGAAGATTCATTCGTTGGATGACAAAAAAGCTTTTCACAAAGACATTGTCAATAATAGTCCCAACAAGTGGCTTCACAATGATAAAGGCGGGCATGCTTGAAAATTGAAATGCTTGGATCTAATCTTTTGAAATTCCCCCCCTTTCTGATTTACATGATTGTTTCTTAATTTCTCTAATTTACATGATTACATCTAAAAAATTAATTATATGAAGATTTTTATCTTTTAAAAATTTATCTAAATTTTTTTTTTTACTTTTCTTTTGCTTATGGATGGACAAAGACAAAGACCGATCTCCTACAAGATAATAAAAGAAAATATAGATTTCATGGAGTAAAAACTTATACCAATATATTTGCTTAAAGTGAAAATTAGATTTCTTATGCTACTTGGTGAACTTAGCTAGAGCCTAATGGTTCGTATTCCACCATTGAGTTCTACCACTTTTTGCATGTTTTGCTGGTGAGAATGATTCTTTGAAAAGTAGAAGAAGATTCGAAGAAAAAGTTATATACCATTTTTTCAAGATATGAACAATACTTTCTTAGACTTAATTTTGCCTCCACATATTTCAATTTTCAGCTGCAAATCAGGTTGATAACGAATCTTTTTAGGATACAGTGAAGACTCTTGGGTATGATCTGATTTACACTCCCAAAACTCAAGACAACAATGGAGTTTATGAAATGATTAACTTTCTCTTTGTTACCTCAAAGACAAGGGTAATGAGTATAAACATTAGAATAATAAGTGATGGTAAGAGGTATTTATAGATAATGAAATAATGTTTTGAAAATAATATAACTACTTACTTAAAAGTCATAAATACCTTATTTTGTTCCATGAACCAACATAATTTAACAATTAATAATGTATGGTTATATGAAATAATTTTTTCATAAAAAATAACATCCTTTTAATATATAGAGTTTTCTTAAAATAACACTTTCCTTTACCAAGTAGTGGTTTCCACACATTTTAAATTTATAACCTTTTAAAAGTGTCCTTAAGAACTAGAGAGACACGACTTTGGTGACCTTTAGTATTATGACTCCCTAGCTCCCTGCATAAACTTTCATAAAATTTTCTTATTTTAGGAAGACATGAATTAAAAAAAAACAGATATATTTAATTTTCATTTTGAAAATATTTTAACATGTTTTTTTGTTCTTGTCCCCTAATGATTTGTTCTTGTCGGTAGGAGAATTCTTTTAGTTTTCTCTGCTAGAAGCTATGGGAAGCCAGAAACAAAAGACTAATTTATTTGCTAACACTTCTTTCTTACGTCAAGGATTGTGAATGAAGTTTTAGCAATATATAGTATAGTACCACACCTTCGGAACTTTAGATCAATTTGGGAATGGCGTTTTAGAAATTAAGAATCTATAAATTTTATAAAGTTTTCTTTTTTAAAATAGAGGGAGAAGATTTCATGTTTTTATAAAAGATAATAAATAGAAGAAAATATTAAAAAAGAAAAAAAGATTTTTGTTTGAGGGAGAAGATTTTTTGTTTCAGAAACTTCTTACTAATTTATATCTAGACACTCAAAGGTGATTAAGAGCTTGTTTGAAATTATTTTTATTTTATTATTTTAATAACTGGTGTTTTAATTTGTAAAACATGTTTGGAAAAAAAAATGAAAACATGTGTTTTTCTCATTTTTTTTGTTTTCTAGAACAATGATATTAAAATAATTAAAATATATTTTTGTTTTTCTATTTTCTAGAATAATTAATATTTTTTATTTTTTCAAAATAATTTTTAAAATATGTTATCAAACAAATAATTTTTTTTATTTTGAAAAATAAAAACTGTTCTTAAAACAGATTATTAAACAAGCTTTAAATTTTTTTTTTTATTTTTTTATAGCCCTTAAAGCTGGTGTTTTTTTTTCTTTCAACCAATAGTGCTAATTTGGTAATAATACTTTTTGGATAATGATGTTCATTTCCTACTAAAAAAAATTCTTTAGATAAAAAAAAAAAGTCAGCCTAGCACTCACCATCATGTGCTGTGTGCCACTGATATCACAATCAATAAAGGAATTTAATTATTCAATTTTAAATGAATGAAAAGTTAGTGAAAAATATGTTTGATAATGTAATCTAAAACAAAGGCAGGGCCCGGAATAAGCTTTTTTTTGGAATCACGGATAAAGTTTATATGTATGAATAGTTAGACCAAAATGTACGGGTGGGGGCACTGAAGCGATATTCCACTCGAACTATGTTGACAAAAGAAGGCACGGACACGCATTTAGTTGTCAAGCACGTTTCATGGCATATTGCTAGCAAGTGGCCTTTCAGCCACTATTCAACCCGTGACAAAGAATTTCATTTTGCTCTTGTTTTTTTTTTTTTTCAAGGGAAATGACACTTATGTTTTAGTGAAATTATTTTATTCATGTAAAGTACCCCAGCAAATTTTGAAGTGCAAAGTAAGTTCATTGTATTCTTAGTTAATAATTTCATATAATGCAATTTGTTTATAAAACAGTATAAAGGGAGAACGAGTTGTAAATTTAGTTAGCCAAAGTTCCAAATTTTTTATTAAAATTTAATCATTAATATTTGTGTTCTTTATTAAAATTGAAAAAATGAATTGCAAATTAAGATGAAATTACAGATTTGAGAGACAATAAGGCAAGTTTCTTGAAGCATCAAAATAATGACTTTTTTAGCAAAAAATAATGATAGGTTACTTTTTCAAATTTTAATCATTAAAATTTATATATTCTATTACAATCGGGAAAATAGGTCACAAATTCAAGAAAACAAAATTATAAATTTGAGACACGGAGTGGCAAATTCTTGAAACGGTTCAAATAATGGTTTCTAATCTATAGTTTCAAATTCAACAAAATAAAATTACAAAATATTAATTATGTGAGTGTGATATAAATGGTAGCGGTCTGAGCCCTTTAAGTATCATTCCAGTTATCTAGAATAATTTTGAAATATCTTCTATTATTATTATGTATATACTTCAATTATTATTAGGAGATATTATTTGATGTTATTATGTAATTATTAGTCATTATTATATTATCTATTTTTTTGTGTATATAATGAATCCTTCATCTCAATAATAGATACAACATTTTTCAATCATTCTCTATATTATCTCTCTCTCTCGTCTCTAATAGCTTTCATAGTACTAGAGCCATATAATATTTTTTCCCATGATAAGTCAGTTTTTGAATAGTGTTAGCTTTCCTTCGCAGTGGTGTTGTCATCCTTAGTCACGAGTTCAAGTCCACCTTAAATCTATTTTCACATATCTATAGGGCAGTTTCAGTAAATTGACATTTGCAAATTCACTAAACATTGGATTGTGCCGAAATTTGGTTATTTAGGAAAGAACATCCAACGTGTCATTTTATCAGATCGTTAATTAGTTTCCTAGTGTGAGCGTTATGCTATTTGCACTATAGTCTCTGGTTTGGATGTTTTTAATCCATTATTCTCTTTTGTAAGCCTATTTGTTCCTTAAAAATATGAAAAATTCAGATGTTGCTCAATTTGTATTAGTTACCTTAAATGGTTGCAATTATCATCTTCGGTTGGAAAAATGTGATCTTGCTCATCCTACTTTGGGATCCTCTCCGATTGAACTTGAAACTTTGTTATGCACATTCATTTCTAGTTCCTTTAGCCCATCTGCTACCTTATCTACTCTCAAGGATAAATCCACTTGATATTTTAACTCTGCTTCGTGCAATCATATAATAGGTTAGGAAAATTTCTTCTCCTCTTTGATATCTAACTCTACTTCCTATCCTATACATACTGTTGATAATTCTCAAATATTTGTTAGTCATATTGGTACTATCTCCTTGCCTTCCTATTCATTTAAGATACATATTTTGTTCTTGCTATTAACTTTAACCTTCTTTTTGCTGGACAACTTGCTGATATGAGTTGTTGATATGGGTTATGACGTGTTATTTAATAAATGTGGTTGTGTTGTGATAAATTCTTAGATAGGATAGGTTATTAGGACTAGGTGTAAAGTTGGTTGCATGTTCGAGCTCACCTTAATGCACCTACTTGAGATCATTGTTTTTACATTGTGTGTTGCCTCCACATTCTCTTCTCCTAATTCTTCCCTCAACTTATGGCATCATTATCTTATTCACCATTCTTTGAGTAAATTGTGTCCTTTAATTTCTAGTGGTTTTTTAGGTCATGTTTATAGTTATTCTTTGCAATGTGTTTCTTGTCAGACTACCAAACAACTTGCTTTGTCTTTTCATAACAATGATTCTATTACTATTTCTCCATTTGATTTGATTAATTTTGATGTTTGGGGTCCTAC